CGGCTGGGGCGGCCGGGGAGGGGGCCGGGGCTGCCGGCGAGGGGCGCGGGGCGGAGGGCGCCCAGCCCCGCTCTTACCTTCCGCCGTCCTGCCCGTGCTGAACTCCTTCAGTTTGTCCTTGTCGCTCTCTACGTGGTCTTTGAAAAGATGCACCGGGCAATGGTTGCTGCTCTCGGTCATGTCCTGCAGGTTAGAGTCAGAGTTTCCAAGCTCCCTAGAGCGAGCCAACCCACTCTCCAAAACTTCCCTGTACGTGATCGTCTCCTTCTTGTTGCTGCTGCCACTGCCGCTGCTGCTCTCTTTGCTTTTCTGGTCAAAAGATTTGGATACAAAAGCCGTAAGTTCTTCCATGGCTGCCCGGTGATCTTATCCACAGAGATCCACTTGTTTTCAGTCGGAGATGTGGCCGTCCTCCGCACGCTGTTTTTGCACGTAGAAGATGGGCTGTATAGGGTTAGATCACTCCTGCTGTTATTTATGCCTTTCAATTTGAGATCACACTATTTATACATGGCTACCTCAGCCCAACCCCCAGCTCTCCCTGTCTCCAGCAATTACTGACTGCTCCATAGTCGCAGGCGGACTCCTAGCAGCTATCTCCCCCACCTCAGTCCAGCAATTGGCTTTCTTTTCATTTCATCACTCTTTGGCATCTTTGCACCTTGATTTAGGGAGGCAAAGAGGCAAAAGCGAAAAAGAGGGGGGGAGAGAGAGGGAGAGAGAGGAATAAAAGGGAGGGGGGGAAGAGGAAAACATGAAAATAGGTATCTGCATTCTGTAAATGGGTTGCAGAAATGAAAGTCGAGGAAGACTTAATTGATTGTAAGGACATCCTGTGCGTGGCAACACTGTGAGTAAAAACGGACCCACAGCTAATCAAATAACTGTGCTCCTGCAATTAAATGTATCGCTGTCAAGAGGAAAAGAAAATGAGTGTTCAATAAAAAAGGTAATGAATAAAAAGCCGGAGATGTGCGTTTGTTGTAATCATTGGAAATTCTACCTGACTTGCTATTTAGCTAATTTCGCTTAATTAAATGGTCAAAATAATCAGCGAACCAAAAATGTGTTTTGAAAAGTGTTGCCTGTTCTGGCGGGCGGGCGGGCG